GGCTCAGCTGCTGCTCCAGCGGCCGGCAGCCCATTCCTGTCCTCTAGGAGGCCTTCTCAGTATCTCAGCTGCCTTGGACTTTTTCAGAATGCGTGGCCAAGCTTTTAAAGACTAGCCCCTGACGAGGGGCCCAGCACTCTGCTTCAGGGACTGCAAACTCCGTAACGAGCTCAGGAAGCCAGTGCAAGTCGGGACCCAGTGGCGTTCCCACGGCGGAGCCTGTTTGGCATGTTGCCGAGTCCTGGACGTAGGTAAGGCTAATGGAGACCCGCACAGCCCAGGACAGTTACTACTGACAGATGCTCTCGTGTGGCTAACCGCCATCAGCTGTCACCCAGAGCGGCTTCATCAACTTCTGTGGCGTCCCACTCGGTGGGCATTGTGCGCATGGAGGTGGCTGTGCTGGTGGTCATAACCACAGTGACCATATTGGAGGCCGGCACAAGAAGGGCACCTTGGAGGGCTCAATCCCTGAGGGGACTCTTTAGGAGAGACCCGCCCCTGAGCACACCCTGTGTTGCCAGGGTCGTGGAAGTCCGGCCACCAGGCGGAGTCGAGCAAGTGTCTGCTGGCCCCTTTGGGCTGGGACCACGAGAGGCCATTCAAATGACTTTGCATCGTTTCCCCCTGGAAAGTGGCCGCTGCCCAGAGGTGGAACGTGGCCCTCACTGGGGGCCGTGGGCTGGCAGCCTTAGTCTTGGCAGCGTGTCTAAAGGCACCAAGTGTGGTTGGCATGGAGGTGGCTGGAGGCGACCCCAGGGGCAGCCCTCAGGGGAGTGGGAGGCTTACATCCACACAAGACCAATTAAAAAGGTGGAGGCAAAACCCCAGGAACTGAACGATCACCCCACACATCCGCTTTCCAGTCACGCTCTGCCTTTCCTCATGAGATGGACCAGGCTTCCTTATTAGGAATCTCCGTGGGAAATCAGGGTCAAGAGCTCTTTGGCAGGTCGGCCTGAGATGGCTGGTCGAAAGATTAGAACAAGATTCGTGAAACCCAGCAAGTGACGGTCGAGCACTTCTCAGAGTGGGTCATTAGGAGCATGTGGGGACGTGCTGGAGAGGGGTGCAGGGCCCCAAGTGCCAGCACGACATGCTGAGAGCAGAGATGTCCGTAGAGACTGAGGCCGCAGGAGTTAGCGGGCTTGAGCCTGTCTGGAGGGGTGCCGCAGGCGGGCCGAGGGCACACGCCCTTTTCCACGGGCTTTGCTTTGTCGGAAGTGCGTGGTGCAGATGGAAGGGACTGCTGGTCCTTCAGAGTGGGTTTTTGCCAGGAATTCAGTCTGTTCCTCTTCGGGAAACACCCCAGGGATGCCAGCAGCATCCTCACCAGCTGCTAGGAGCCCCGTTTTCCTCCCTGCCTTGAAATGGCTCACAGTTCCCTGGGCCGAACTGGGGGTCCCGCCCACTTCCCACCATGGCCTCCTGCCGAGACTTCCCAGGACAGCTGGGAGAGACGGCGTCACAAAAACACCATGGCTCCCACCTGGCTCCACTTCACAGGAGAAATTTAAGGACACTCCGCTGGGATTTGTTTTCTCAGTACAGAAGAGGGGGGCTAAGTGAGAGTCTTATGTGTTTGAAAACCTCAGGAAGGCGACACCATCTGACAGTCATTTTCTCACTTTGGTCTTACAAAGCCGCCTGTTTCTTGGGTACACATCTCACACCATTCCCTGTCTCTTTATAACCCAGCAAGGGCAGGGAGGCCTCTTCCCCCAGCGAGCACACTGAACCGTCATGACCACGAGGCCCCGAGTCAGGCCCTGCAAGGGGGATGGCCGTGGGAGTTGCAGGGACAGCGATAGGCAGGCCAGGTGTGGGGTCAGAGAAGGGCACTCCGTGGATGGTGACCACAGGTGTGGAGAAACAGTTTTAGAAATTATTTTCTGAATAACGTGTATGTTTTGTGACATGTACTGGACAGTCACTGGTCCCACCCTTGCCCATTTGAGTGGATGCAGCAGAGCGGGAGAATGTCATGTCTTTCTGCTATTAGGAGACCTGGAAAACTGCAGAAGGCTACCCCACTGCACGTGAAGGAGGCAGTCATCTGGAGACGGTGTCAACCGTTCGTTCTGTAACTTCAGAGACTCCGGAGGGTTGAGGGTGCGCATGATCATGCCCTTCTCCCGCTCATCCGTGGGATCTGGTGTCAGTTAATAACCACGTAGTTTGTGCTCAGTCATCAGACAGCCTTACAGTGCCCCAACGCTGAAGCCCATGGTTCCAAAGACATTTTTTTTAACCTGAAGGAATAAATTAATTTGTTAATTCCAATAGAAAAACTGAATTATTACTGGGCTATTTGTACTTTTTTATAGAGAACTTTAGTAACTCTTTAAAAAATGAGTTTTTAAACTAAAGCTACTGACAATGTCACAAGGTTCCAACCACAGGAAACCTGTAGGTCTCAACCCGGGTTAGCTAGAGCACTCCTGACCTGCATTCCCCCTGTAGGCTTTTCCCATGCTGGTGGGGTCTAGAGTCCCATCGGAATGCCTGTGAGTTCAGGTGCAACCTGGCAAACCGAGGCCGTGTTTTTAATAGACACTGGGACAGCTGCCAAAGGTCTAAAAAGTTTCAAGCAGTAGGAAAGATGGCTTTATTGTCCCTGGGAGCCCTTTCCTCCCTCTCAGGCTCTGTGACCACCTTTGGGCAGTTGAAGGGAACACTTCTTCAGTTCTGTCCACAGTCTCCTTCAGTCCCCAAGTCTGTACTTTTGGTGAAGATTCAAGATGCCCTATAAAGATTTTTGCCCACTGGGCAATTTAGAAATACTTCAATATCCCAAGAAGTAGAAGGCAGCCGAAAACATGCCTTCTGGCATCTGTTTCACGGTAACTGCTTATGTCGGTAGACAGAACGCGACTTTTCGGACACTAGGTAGCAAGTCCACTTTGTAAGAACCTTTTTTTTCTAAAATAAGATGAGGCGGCTTTGCATCTTCTGAGTAAACAACCGTGTCTTCGTCTGTCTGCTTACATTTAGAAGCATCTATTCCTGTGGTTGTCGATTTTCATTCTTCCTGGAAGACTGCTTCTTTTCTGGAGGGGTTCAGTGGACTATTCAAAATCATACGTGAAGGCAGTTACTGTATTGAGTCGAACTGTTTTCTAAAAATTAACCTCATATTCTTCCTGTTATAGGGTCTTTCAGAAAATCTTTTATAGACGGTCGGAAGCATTTGAAATCACTGCTTTTGCTACATGTTTTGTTGTTGTTGTTGTTTGGTTTGTTTTTGTGAAGGACATGCCATGTTTAAATCATGAATTGACAAACACCATGTAAGACCCCAAACGTGGAGGAAGAAATGGAGGTGGAGGTCTTTCCTTCTGTGTCAGCACCCTGACAAAACGTAGAGGCCATTCGACTCGCAAGTGACATTTGGTTGCATAGCAGATGAGGTGGATGTACAAACGACTGCATTGCTTTTCTCGGTTTGTATAACCTCTGATCTCCGTTTGCATGACATGCTTTGTTAGACACATTCATTGTAGTTTGGAGGCAAGTGTGTATGAATAAAGATAATGATCATTCCTTAGCGTACCTGGT